TGCCATAAACTGTTAAATACTTCACTTCCCTTTGGGTTTTCTTTATATTCTGTAGATACAGTGCTGGCAGTTCCCCTGTTTTATACTGAGTCTTATTCTTAATTAAAAAGATTTGTGTAGGAAGTGAAAAGTATCTGCAAAGCTTTTTGGTTTTAAATCTGCCATTCAGTGTGGCTTTGTATAATAGACTATTTAATCCTTATTTATTAATCTGCTGCTAGAATGGTGTAATGTATCTAACTTTTAGCAAAGGAAGGTTGCAGAGCAGCTTACAATTTCGTTATTGTTTTTTTTTACAATTGTATAAAGATTTGATTATTCTTTTTTTCCTTTAGGGATGTAGTGCATTATTGAGGGGTATGTTACAATGTTGGTTGATCTTGTAAAAATGCAGTTTTGTACAACAAAGTATTTTGTATTGATTTTTTTTTTTTTTTGGCCTGCAGAATTGCCATAAAAGGGATTTTTCTTATTTACTACTAGATGTAGGGTGTGTGTACACAAAATATAATATTGTTATCAGACATGTTGCTACTGGGTGGGTGTGTACACTATACGTGTGTGTGTGTGTGTGCATGTGTGGTTAAGTTGACTGGCAGTCTGTATTTTATATATATATATATTTATATATATATATAAAAGTACAAAATATATCTGCTTTATTTTCATAAATTAGGGATAAGCCTTGTGACATGAAATGGAAATTGTACCTGATCATCATCCTTAATGAATGAAAGTATCATGTATCAAGCTGCCCACGACGTGTAGTTTATTTATACTATTCCAGGGGGAGCCCGTAGTGGTAACAGAGCTTACAAGCTTTTTTGTCTCTGTTTTCAGTCAGACAGCTGTCTGAGATGGTTATTTCCCCAGATGTGCAGTATAAATAAATATGATAAGAACCAGTATTCTATATAAAAGCTTTTGATCACTTTTTGCCCTCTCCCTCACCTGCAGATTTCTTTCTCTTTTTATTTCTTCATTGAAGAGTCACATCGGTTTCTTTTGTCTTCCTCATTCATTACAATTCTTGAGGTACCATTAAATAGAAATACAGTCTTGACTACATGATAGCATCTGGTTTTACTACCTCACGTTAATCTGCTAGCTTTGATGTCAGTAAACACAGTCCTTGTGCAGATACAGCAGCAGTTCCTACAGGTTGGAATGGCAAGGGTTTGAAGTTGCAGTGCACATGGTGCCTCTTCCACAGCTGTGATTGCTCACCTGGGAAGGGCAGGGGAGAAGTTTCGCAGGTCGTTTTAATAAAGCAGTCCAGGTAAGTGTGTTGGTGCAAGGGCTTGGCCTGTCTGAGGGCTCTGCTGACCCAGCAGGGCAGTTTGATCTGAGCTGGCAACCCGAGGAGCAGGGTTGTCAGGAGACATGCTGGAGGGATGACCTCGGCCTGTGATGACCCCCTGGTGTCTGCTGGGTGCCAGGGGTAGCTGCAGTTCTGTGTTGTTCTGAAGGTCTGGATGGAAAAAGATGGGCAGAATTTAGCATTTTATCCACTTGGCATTGTCATTCAAAACTAATCCTTGTTCTTGGCCTGGTATTGAAATGCAGTTTTCAGTTCTGAAACTATATCAAAGTGTCATAAAAAATAAGTGTACAGATACAACTTAAAAACCAGTTCACATCAGCTGTTATTGGATCAGCAGTATTAAGAGAGCCATGTCATTTTTGTGGTTTCAAGAAAATGAGTTTTCTAGGACTGAAATTACTTCTCCATAGGTAACAGTGATTGGTGATTAACTCTCAGATGATACTAACTCCTAGTCTACCAAGACTTTTAAACAAAAAACAAAGTGAAGCACCAGGTGTAGATGTCACAGAGCAAACACTTTCCCTTAACTTACCTCATTCACTGCCGAAGGTAATTTTGGCTTCACCTTTGCAAACCCTTAAAGACTAGAGAAATCTGTAAATAAACTATGAATATTTATGGGGAGTAACTGGAGTAAATAACTATTAGGTCACTACACTGTCATGCAAAATAATGAACTGAATGTTATTTTGCTTTGAATGACATGGATAACTGGTGATTTGCTGAATCATAAAAAATCCAGGAAAGTCCTCATTTAATCAAACTCATTTTTAAGCTGTTCAGGCATTTCTAATGGCACATTCTGAAATGGTTGGTCTGGTTTTATAGACGGTGGCATTTTGGGCATGATCTGCAAGTGTAAAACCTCATGATCCTAGTGTAAAACCTCACTGGTTGCTCTGTGGAGTCTCTCACAACAGATTTGCATGTTTCATAGCTGAACCGGCCAGTCACGGTGACTCTGACCAGTATCATTTATATTTGTTTAAGTTAGTCTGGGATTGTCTGTATTTTTCTTTGTTTTTGTGATATTTCAACCAGGGTTCAGAAAGCCTAGTGTGTGGTTTTGGAGTTGATAAAGCAAAAGCTTGCTTACCCCCTCATTGCTCTTTTGACAGATATCAAAGTGTTAGTTATTGGATGCATAAGATTCATGTATTCAACTTGAAAGCCTTAAAATAGGCTCCCAGTGCTCTTTGAAGTACAAACAGTATTTGAAGAGCAGCCTGTAGATGAATCTGTCCTGATTTCCTAACCAAATTCATTGTAACTGAAAAATAGAGCTGTAATTGTGTTGACATCTCTTCAAAAGATGAAAGGTACAACCCATCAGCGAGCCACGTCTCTGACTGAAAAGGACAAGACTAGGAGACTTCCTGAAATGTACTTTTTACCTTGTTTAGTCATTAGATTGTAACTGAGACTCTAACTGCACTTGTTCCAGTTTGTGTAACTAGGCTTTGTTCTACGTAAATTTCTGTTGCAGTTCATTTCAGTCTATGCCAAATAAACGATGCTTTATTTGATACCTACATGTGCTGTGGTAGAGTTGCTGGAAACAACACCTTGTCAGATGTATCTTGAAAGTAAAGGAGCCTCCAGTTTTTGTGGCAGTCAGTGGGAAGGGCCTGATCTGGGGCTGGCCACTCTTCTCAGTCCTGCAGACTGGGAGCCACCTGGCATCTCTCACATGCAGCTGGAGGAAAGGGAGGTCTGGGGATAGCAGAGAAATGCAGTCAGTTTAGTAGTGGAAATCTCTTCCCAGCTTGGTGCTGCCCAGCACTCTGCTCCAGCACAGCCTGGCTGCCGGTCACCACTGAACCCCTCACAGGTTGTCTGGCTTGAAAACTGGAGGCTGGTCACCTCGTGCCCAGTTGGCCAGGCAGATGGCAAGGTGGGCTCTGGAGGGGGGTTGCTTAGGATAAGAAAATGTGAGCATTTGACACTCCAGCCTGGACACGGCCCAGCCTCAGCAGGATCTAAAGTTTATACAAGTCTTGCCCCCACACATTGGCCACCTGTGTACTGCAAGTGCTTCAGCCCTTGGTCTGTATCCCAGATCTTCAGGGACATAATGAGGTAGAGAGAAGACGGTGTTTGTGAATGTGCCTTTGGACAGCACAACCACCAGTTACTGGTAAATAAATAAACAAATAGAGATAAATATTCCTCCTCTGCAGATCGTTCCCACTGTGTATGCATCACAGCATCCACCTGTACGGGTTACCTAGGAGAGAAATCTGGATTGTGGAATGACCGGCCAGTTGACTCCTCATTTAAGGAGCTTCATCAGTCACGTAGTCCTCGGACCTCTGAGGCAGCTCTGCAGGTCTTTGGGACAGCTGCATGAGAGACCTTGCTCAGAAACACCACGGAGAGTTGAGTTGCCTCACAGTGTTGGTTTGGTGTGAGTTCATTTCGTCTCGACAGAGCTGGGAAAATCTCAGTGGTGGGATAGTTCTACCAAAGCACACATTTGTCCTAAGAATACTCTTCACCCTTTCATTAAAGAAGAGAAGGAACCAAAAAGAGACAGCATGTGTGACAGCTAGAACCTCAGCAGGCGACTCATCCCTGATGGATGTGGCTTCAGAAGAAGAATAGTAGGTCTTTTGTCCTGAGTGGAATTCAGGGAGAACCCCAGGAAGGGACCGGGGAGGGAGGAGGTGCAGGATGGAGCAGGGCCTGCACACAACTCCAAACCTGCTGCTGGAAGGAATTGCCACCGCCAAAGGATGTTTTCGTCAGGGTGTGAGGAGGATAGAGGAGGACCCCAATAGGTACCCGAGGAAGGAGCAGAGCTCTGGAGAGAGGTCAAGACAAAACGGGCGCTGCGGGACACAAAGCCCCGGGGGTAGCGAGGGGGGCTCAGCGCCCCGAGCGCTGCCTGTGGCCCCGCCGGAGCCCCTGAGACCCTCCTCACCCACCGGCTGGGTTTGGCCTTTCCCGGGGCGGTTCCTCCCCGTCCTCCGCCCCGGGGAGGGCTTTTCCTTCAGCGTCCTGGCAACCGACGGGGCGAGCTCCTCCCGGCGGGGCTGGGGCGGCTGC